ATAAAAGGGATATATTGAATTGAACACTTTGTCACTAGGAAATACTTTTCATCTATATTGATTTTTTTTTTTTGGGGGGGGGACTTAAAGTCAATGTTGCCTGATAATAACGTAGCTACACTTCTTCCCTTTTGGTTGATGTTTCAAGGTATGTATTTTCCATACTTTGACTTTCAGCCTGTTTCAATCTTTTACTCATGTATTTTTTTTTCTTAAATCCAATCTGATGGACTTCATCATTAAATTTTATTACTTAGTTCATTAAAATATATTGTAGCTACTGACATATTGTGTTTTATTTTTACTGTTATACTCTTTGCCTTCCATTTGTCCTGGCTTTTCTATATTCATTCTTTTTTTTTTTTTGAGATTGATTCTCACTGTGTCACCCAGGCTGAAGTGCAGTGGTGCGATCTTGGCTCACTGCAACCTTCACCTCCTGAGTAGCTGGGATTACAGGTGCGTGCCACCATGCCTATCTGATTTTTGTATTTTTAGTAGAGATGGGGTTTTGCCATGTTGGCCAGGCTGGTCTCAAACTCCTGATCTCAAGTGATCCGCCCACCTCAGCCTCCCAAAGTGCTGGGATTACAGGTGTGAGCTATCGCGCCAGGCCTGATCTTGCTTTTTTTTGGGAGGGGGAGGTTATAATTAAAACTAGTCTATTGTTTGACTTCAGTTGTACTTATACAGCGTTTTACTTTTTTTTCTTTTTGAGATGGAGTCTTGCTGTGACGCCAGGCTGGAACACAGTGGTGCAATCTTGGCTCACTGCAACCTCCTACACCCTGGTTCAAATGATTCTCTTGCCTCAGCCTCCTGATCCTCTTTACAGACACGCGCCACCATGCCCAGCTAATTTTTGTGTTTTTAGTGGGGACACAGTTTCACCATGTTGGCCAGGATGGTCTTGATCTCCTGACTTCATGATCCACCTGCCTCGGCCTCCCAAAGTGTTGGGATTATAGGTGTGAGCCACCACACCCAGCCTTAAATTTAGGTTTTGTATCACTTTGTCCAAAACTATTACCATAATCCATTTCAATTCATAAGACTGAAATAAGTGCTTGAGGTATTTGAAGTTCTGTTGGAGGTTTAGTTGAAGAGCAAGAATAAATGTAACATGGGTTTAGCACTTAAGGACTTTTTTTTTTTTTTGAGACAGTCTCGCTCTGTTGCCCAGGCTGGGGCACAGTGGCACAATCTCGGCTTGCTGCAAGCTCCACCTCCTGGGTTCCTGCCATTTTCCTGCCTCAGCCTCCCAAATAGCTGGGACTACAGGCGCCCACCACCACACTGGGCTAATTTGTTGATTTTTAGTAGAGACGGGGTTTCACCGTGTTAGCCAGGATGGTCTCGATCTGCTGACCTTGTGATCTGCCCGCCTCAGCTTCCCAAAGTGCTGGGATTACAGGCTTGAGCCACCACACCTGGCCAAGGACTTTATAATCTGGTATGACATGAGGCACAGGTTTCTGTAATATTAGAGTAGAATGTGATAAGTAGCAGCTACAAGAAGGATGGTATATTTATAAAATACTTGAATAGAAACACTGAGAAAATCATGAAACACAAACTATTTGTCTTATGCAACCTAGCTGTATTAGACCATTTTAATGCCACTCATAAAGACATATCTGAGACTGGGAAGAAAAAGAGGTTTAATTGGACTTATAGTTCCACATGGCTGGGGAGGCCTCAGAATCATGACCGGAGGCAAAAGGTACTTCTTACATGGCAGTGGCAAGAGAAAATGAGGAGGAAGCAAAAAGGAAACCCCTGAGAAAACCATCAGATCTCATGAGACTTACTCACTATCATGAGAATAACATGGGAAAGATGGCCTGATTCAGTTACCTCCCCTTGGGTCCCTCCCACAACACGTGGGAATTCTGGGAGATACAATTCAAGTTGAGATTTGGGTGGGCCAATCCATATCACTAGCATACTGAAAGATTTAAAAATATACATGATGATCTTTTTGGTTATGTATTCAGAATACCTGGCTGTTTGCAAGACAGTTGGAACTACTTTGAAGCCACTCTGAAGATGTCTGCTGAGAATTATCTCAACAAACAATGCTGTTGCTAGGATTACATATTAATGCCATCTTTATCTTGCCATATATCTTTATCAGTTTTCTTTCACTCTCTGCCACGGCTTTTTTTTTCATACTAAGCCTTCTAAGCCTGGCATATTTTACACTTATACTTCACATTTACAGCACATCTCAATTCAGAGTAGCCATGTTTCAGGTGCTAAATAGTGACAAATAGCTAATGACTACACTTTTGGACAATGTGTGTCTAGATGGTGAGATAGACTTTTCAGAAAACAAATAATTGGTATATTTGTTTAACTTTTTTGTGAAGTAACCGAAGAAGCCCCTACTGACTTGATCATAAGTAGGTGCCAGGGAGAGATTTAGATTTTCAAGAAAAGTTTCACTGAAAAGTCGTTTGAATGGTGTCTTCAACTATGAATATAAATTTGGTAGGTGAACAAAATAGGCCAGGGGAATAGTATGTAAATCATGATGCTGTATAAGAGTAGGATTTGTTCAGAGGCTTTCAAGTGTTTTATTGTTGTCAGAGAATAGGTATGTGTGTGCTAATGGAAGGTGAGACTGGAAGGATAGATTTTGAAGAATGTCCCAGATGCTAGTGATTCTTCACCAGTTCTTGTGTTATGAGTAATTTACCAGTAATGACAGTTAACCTCAGGATAAATTTTCTGAAGTGTAATTGATAGATCTAATAGAATGACCGTTTAATGTCCCCTCATACATTCAGGGAAATTCACGGGTTTGAACTAATTTACACTGCCTCTAGCAACTGTGCTGGTTTCAGTGCATGTTCAACTGCTGTAGTTAGTATAGTTTTAATGTGCTTATTTTGCTGTGTTAGGTTTGTATTTTGTTCACCAATTTATTATTGGTGGTTGAACATCTTTCTTATTAACACTGAAATTTTACTCCTGTCTAGTCCTTAGACCCCATTCAGGCCTTACCAGTTGTCTCAATAGAAGGATCCAGGGAGAATCAGACATTATACCTCAGTTTTCCCTTTTCTTTGAAGGAAAGGCCTTGACATTTTTGAAGATTACAGGTTGGTTATTCTGTAGAATGTCCCCCAACTTGGTTTTCTCTATTTCCTCATGATTAGACTCAGGCTACAGATCTTTGACGGGAACAACACTTCTCATTGCATGGGACTTTGATTTGTCTGATTACTAATGATGTTACTTTGATCATTTGATCAAGGCAGTGTCTGCCAGGTTTTACTGCTGTGAAGTTACTTTTCCCTTGGAAGTAATGTGTAGTTTATGGGGGAAGTATTCAGAAACTATCCCATTTACTACCACACTTTCCATTTATTCACTCATTTATTTATATCTGTATTGATTCATGATTTCTTATTTTGTCAATGGGTTTTAATCCATTGCTATTATTATTGGTATTGATGCTGAAATTACCCCATTTGGCCAGTGGGATCTCCTTCAATCTTGATCCTATGTCTTTTGGACATGTCTTTGGCATTCCTTGAGCACTTTCTTGCTTACTGCCACAAGATATTCCAGATTCATCCTGTACTTTTTCTACCCCTGTGCTGTAATTAGTGAATTACAATTCTCCAAAGATGTCTGGTTCCTTTTATTGGAGAATGGTATTAGAGGTCAAGAGCTAGGTGCTAGAAACGTTCATACCACTGGGGAGGGAAGATGTTCACTGCTCCAAGGCCCTCTCAGTAGATAGAATTGCAGAGCTAGGGAGTATGCATCTGCGTGGGACACACACCATGCATGTATGTCCATGTCTTCGGAAATCCATTAGTTCACTCATACTTACAGTTTATTATTTTTGAAACGGAGTCTCGCTCTGTCGCCCAGGCTGGAGTACAGTGGCATGATCTCGGCTCACCTCAACCTCCACCTCCTGGGTTCAAGTGATTCTCCTGCCTCAGCTGCCCAAGTGGCTGGGGACTACAGGCGCACCCCACCATGCTGGTCTAATTTTTGTATTTTTTTGGTGGAGATGGGTTTCACTATGTTGCCCAGGCTGGTCTCAAACTCCTGACCTCAAATGATCCGCCCACCTTGGCCTTCCAGAGTGCTGAGATTACAGATGTGAGCCACCGCACCTGGCCCAGTTTCAATCCACAGAGTTCATTCAAACTTTTTCCATTTCCATATTTGCCATCTCCCTTCTCTGCCAAATGAGAACTCTGGGTCCCATTGTCTTTAATAAATCTTTAAAAAAAAAATGTTATTTTTTTTAAAGAGATGGGGCTCACTCTGTCACTCAGGCTGAAGTGCAGTGGAGGAATCATAGCTCACTGCACCCTTGAACTCCTGGCCTCAGTCGATTCTCCTGCCTCAGCCTCATGAGTAGCTGGGACTATAGGCACCTGCCACCACATCTGGCTGATTTTAAAATTTTTTGTAGAGACAGGATCTCACTGTGTTGCCCAGGCAGATCTCAAACTCCTAGCCTCAAGTGATCCTCCTGCTTCTGCCTCCCAAAGTGCTAGAGTTACAGGCATGAGCCACTGCGCCTGGCCCTTAATAGATCTTATTGATCTATCCCTCTCTATATAGCAAATCTCCCGTTGCTGCTTTGAACCCTTTTACATGGAGGTGCTGTCACTGTGCTCAGGCTCCTACTTTCCCTGCCAGTCCTCTGCCCCCATGGGTGCCCTCCTCACCACCCTCAGCCTTCAACATCCTGTGCAAGCTGGCCCTGCCTGCGAATGGCCTCCTCACATAGTTTCTATTCTGACAGCCATGCAGGTACCCTGGGATGTGGATACCTACGTGGTGGATATAAGAGTGAATTTTTCAGGAAGGGAAGAGAACTCTGATTTCCTAAGTTTTACTCTAATGGTTCTAGCTGTGGGATTATTTTGACATTCTTTGAGTCCTTTCAATTTAGGTGTTATATTTTCTCTAATTCTGGGAAATTTAGTCATTATTTCTGCAACTATTTCTTCACTCTCATTTGTGTTTTTCTCTCCTCCTGTGTAAGCTATTGTGTGGCAGTTGATTTCCCTCATTTCTCTATTTGATCTCTTGCTTTTTCTTTTATGTATTTTGTCTCTTTCTACTGTCTTTTGGCAGAGTATCCCAAATCTGATATTTTAGCTTATTAATTTGTTCAACTGTATCCTTTCTGTTCTTCAGTTGATCTATTAAATTTCATTATTTCACCAATCGTATCACATTATTTCAGTGACTATATTTTGTCTGCCTATTTTTACACCCTACACTAGGACCAAATTTTCCTGTATTATTCCAGGGATTTCTGTCTGTGTGTAAACACAAATCAGTTTTTTTGTTTGTTTGTTTTGTTTTGTTTTGTTTTGAGACAGAGTCTCGCTCTGTCACCCAGGCTGGAGTGCAGTGGCGTTATCTCTGCTCACTGCAAACTCTGCCTCCTGAGTTCACGCCATCCTCCTGGCTCAGCCTCCCAAGTAGCTGGGACTACAGGCGCCCGCCACCACACCTGACTAATTTTTTGTATTTTTAGTAGAAGCGGGGTTTCACCATGTTAGCCAGGATGGTCTCGATCTCCTGACCTCGTGATCTGCCTGCCTTGGCCTCCCAGAGTGCTGGGATTACAGGCGTGAGCCACTGCGCCTGGCCACAAATCAGTTTTTAAAGTTTAGTTTAGGTTTGTATTGTACATATTGTCTGACAACTTACTGTTGTTTTTTCTTTTTACATGGCAGGTTTATGAAATTGATTACAACTGGAGATAGTTTCAATTCAGTATAGTTTTAATACACCTCTGTGTGTATACGTATGTGTGTATTATGTGTGTGTGTGATTTTATATCCCTTTTATACTGAAGTGTGCTCATACCATTGCCTCACCTTCTTAAACACAGTTGTGAGTTAGTGATTGGGTAGAGTGCAGTGGTTAGTATTCCTAACCATTTTCGTCTTTGAGGCCTTTAGGTTGTTTTCAATTTTTAAATGTTATGATACTGAAACAAATACATGGATAAGGTGTTTTCCATTTGTGGGATCATTTTCCAGAAGGATTTATAGAATGGATCAAATTAACAAATAAATAAATAAATAAATAAATATTTTTAGATTGTTAACCATGTAGAGGAATGCCTAGAACCTAACAGGCATTTAAATAATATTTATTAGATGAAAGGATATTATGAAAACTGCTTTATAATATGGTTCCAATTTTCATCCATACCAATGATAGGAGATGATCTATTTTCTTTCCTTTTTTTTTTTGTTTTTTTTTTGAGATGACGTCTCAGTGTGTCGCCTAGGCTGGAGTGCAATGGCACATCTCGGCTCACTGCAGCCTCCACCTCCCGGGATCAAGCAATTCTGCTGCCTCAGCCTCCTGAGTAGCTGGGACTACAGGTGCCCACTGCCACGCCCGGCTAATTTTTGTATTTTTAGTAGAGATAGGATTGCTCCATGTTGGCTGGGCTGGTCTCGAACTCCTGACCTCAGGTGATCTGCCCACCTCCTCCTCCCAAAGTTCTGGGATTACAGGCGTAAGCCACCGCGCCCGATGAGATGATCTTACAGTATCTTACACTTAAATTATATTTTTATGATTTGATTGTAATCAGAAGAATTCTATATCTGTCTTGGATAAAAAATACTATCAGATGATATAACTAAGGTTTTTTTCTATTTTTATTTTTACCTACTGGATGAATGAACATATGTTTTCTTACAGGACTGAATTTGCTCTTCAAGAAATCATGTCCTCTGGAGGTGCTGAAGATGATATCCCACAGGGAGAGAGGAAAACAGTTACAGATTTTTGTTATCTTCTGGATAAATCTAAGCAACTGTTCAATGGGTTAAGGTGAGTGGACTCTTGGTGCTTTGAACTTTTCTTTAGTTCTGCATTTTTTTTTCTGGCTGATGTGTGGTAAGTTTCTGAAAATTATAGGTAGAATGTCATATGCATTTCTGTATTAGAGTAATCATGGTTTTTTTCTTTGACATCATTTTTTAAATTCTTAGATTAAAGAAACAGTAGGAAAAGAGGATAACTTACACTGTTTTAGTCAAGTTAGAAAGAGCTATTTTGTGAGATGGTTTTGTATGCATTACTCACACCAGATCTGATTTTCATCTGGTTTTGCACGTTAGGGTGTTGAGGTCTGAGGAGCCTAGAAATGCATATGCAATTGAATGTGGAGCCTCCTATTGCATTTTTGTAATTTGTTTACTTGCTTGTTTCTTTTATTCTTTCTTTCTGTGCTTTCTGGAATGAAATGTCTGTGCCTAAAGTAATGATGGGCCACCAGATCGGGGTGGTGATGGCGGGGGGTGGGTAGAAAAAGTAATGATGGGGTGTTATAAACCATGCTATTTATGATTTAACCTATATTTCAGTTCTTGAGAGTTTTAGGATATTCAGACCTAAAGCTTCATTAGCTTAGTACCAGTTAGAAGAAAATTCATACAATAGGTAAAATTCTAGGGATAAACAGGTTTTATTTTTGAAAATTTATGTAGAAAGGAATGATTGTAAAGATACCAAGTTATTTTAATTTATGGTTTATGGATAAAAATGCAATCTTTTAATCTTACATTTTATAATTGTATTATGCATCACCAGGTTTGGACATATACTGGCAAGGTTTATTTTTAAACCAGATAATTTATCTTTTTTTAAAAAATGTGAATTTTTCAAATACCCTTCTGTCTAAAGCTGCCCTTTAAATCATTCTCTTTTTCCTATATTCATTTGATTTGCTTCTTGACAGTTACCACTCTTAAAATTATTTACTTGCTTATTATGTCTGTCCTGCATTAAAATGAAATGTCCCTAAGAGCAGGCCCCTGTTTGTTACTGTTTCGCTAGTTTTTAAGCCCATGTCTTGCACATTGTAAATGCTTTGTGAATATTTGTTAAACGGAGGATTCCAAAGACAGTATTCTTAACTCCTGCACTCTGCTGCTTCCTATTTTGTGCTGCAGAGGAGATGTTTGAGATCATGTTTTTCTTTGGCCTTATAAATTAATTGTGTCTTTTTAAATCATATTTTCTTTCACTATTTTAATTCAGAAGTTTTCCTTGGTATGCCTGGGGTTTAAATCTTTTGTTTTCCTGTAATACATTGTTTTAAACCTCTTAAATTTCCTTACTTAGACTTTTTTTTTTCTTTGCCTTCTAGGTATATTTTTTTTCTTCAACATTATTTGTCACCCAGTATGTACCACATTCTGTATTGGGTACGAAAATTCAGAGATAAAGCTAACAGTCCCTGCCCTCAATTACTCTATGACGCAATTATAAAAAAACAAAACCCAAAGCAAACGTCTGCTCACAGCTAGCCTCAGCTTTAGCACATCTAGTGAGCCTGTTTCCCACATATCTGTGTGCCTGTTGAAATTAAGTAAAAAGTTAAAAGAGGCCAGGCGCGGCGGCTCATGCCCATAATCCCAGCACTTAGGGAGGCTGAGGTGGGAGGATCACTCGAGCCCAGGAGTTTGAGATCAGCCTGGGCAACATGGTGAAACCTCATCTCTACAATAACATGAAAAAATTAGCTGGATGTGGTGGCGAGTGCCTAAAGTCACAGCTGCTCAGGAGTCTGAGGCGAGAGGATTGCTTGAGCCCAGGAGATCGAGGCTTCAGTGAGGTGTTATCACACCGCTGCACTCCAGCCTGAGTGACAAGAGCAAGACCCTTAACCAAAAAATAAAAATAAAATCTTAAAGGGATTGTAGATTTAAAGGTAGGAAGACATTTAAAAGCTTGCATTTAAATCCCTTGTGTAACTTCTGGCACATGGGCTCTCAAACTTAAAACACTGACGTAGTTATAATAGCTCGGACCCCTTTTTTTTGAGACAGTTTTATGGAGCTGTATTGACACACAATAAAATTTGCCCATTCAGCGTTTATAGTTGAAAAGTTTGGTATGTTTGCAGGGTTTTGCAGCTATTACTACAATTTAATTTTAGATCATTTTAATCACCCCCGAAAGAAATCCGGTTCCTATTAGCAGTGATTCTGCATTCTTCCAGACCTTAACCCCTGACAACCACTAATCTACTGTTTGTCTCTATGGATTTACCTATTTTTGATATTTTATATATTAAATAACTGGAATCATACAATATGTGGTCTTCTATCATGCACTTATTTTGTTAACATAATGTTTTTGAGGTTCATCTGTATTGTAGCACATATCACTACTTTTATTACTGATTAATATTCCATTGTAAGGATTTATCACAATTTGTCCAGTCATCAGTTGGTGACATTTGAGTTTTTTGGCTATCAAGAATAATAGTCCTGTGAACATTTGTATACAAGTTTTTATGTGAGCATTTCTTTTTTTTTTTGAGACGGCGTGTTGATCTTGTCATCCAGGCTGGAGTGCAATGACACAATTTCGACTCACTGCAACCTCCGCCTCCTGGGTTCAAGCGGTTCTCCTGCCTCAGCGTCCCGAGTAGCTGAAATTACAGATGCCTGCCCTGCCCAACTAATTTTTGTATTTTTGGTATAGACAGATTGGCCAGGCTGGTCTCAAACTCCTGACTTTGGGTCATCCACCTGCCCTGGCCTCCCAAAGTGCTGCGATTACAATTCTCTTGGCCATGTACCAAGGGGTAGAATTCCTGGGTCTTATGGTAATTCTGTGTTTAACCTTTTGAGGACCTACCAAGCTGTTTTCCAAAGTGGCCTCATCACAAGTAATGTATTCCAGTTTCTCCTCCTTCTCACCCATACTTATTATTTTCTATCTTTTTGATTATAGACATCCTAGTGGATGTAAATGGTATCTCTTGGTGGTTTTGATTTGAATTTCCCTAATGTTGGGCATCTTTTTATACACTTGTTAGCTATTTCTGTTTCTTCTTTGGGAAAACATCTGTTCTAATTCTTTGACTAGTTAAATATTGGATTAGTTTTAAAACTATTAATTTATAATTGTTTATATATTCTGGATACAAGTCCCTTGTAAGATGTGTGATTTGCAAATATATATTCTCTTACTCTGTGGAATGTCTTTTACTTTCTTTTCTTTTTTTTTTTTTTTTTGAGACGAAGTCTCACTCTTGTCTCCTAGGCTGGAGTGTGATTGTGTGATCTCACTCACTGCAACCTCCGCCTCCCGGGTTCAAGCGATTCTCCTGCCTCGGCACCCACGGCCCCCACTCCCCGAGTAGCTGGGATAACAGGCGCATGCCAGCATGTCCAGCTAATTTTTGTATTTTTAGTAGAGACAGGGTTTCACCATGTTGGCCAGGCTGGTCTAGAACTCCTGACCTCATGTGATCCACCCGCCTCAACCTCCCAAAGTGCTGGGATTACAGCCATGAGCCACTGTGCCCAGCATGTCTTTTACTTTCTTAATGATATCCTTTGAAGCACAAATGTTTTTAATTTTAATACAGTTAAACTTGTCATTCTTTTCTTTCATTGCTTATACTTTTGGTGTTGTGTCTAAGAAATCATTGCCTAACCTGAAAACTTATCCTGTGTTTTCTTCTAAGAGTTTTATAGCTTTAGCTCTTACATTTAGGTCTGCAATCCATTTTGAGTTCTTTTTATTTTAATTAATTTTTTTGAGATGGAGCCTTGCTCTGTCCCCTAGGCTGGAGTGCAGTGGCATGATCTCGGCTCTCTGCAGCCTCTGCCTCGCGAGTTCAAGCAATTCTCCTGCCTCAGCCTCCCTAGTAGTTGGAATTACAGGTGCGTACCACCATACTGTATTATTTTTAGTAGAAACGAGATTTCATCATGTTGGCCAGGCTGGTCTTGAACTCCTAACCTCAAGTAATCTGCCTGCCTCGGCCTCCCAAAATTCTGGGATTACAGGCATGAGCCACCATGCCCAGCCCATTTTAAGTTAATTTTTGTGTATGGAATGAGATGTTAGTTTTATGTTATTTTTTTAATGAGAAAAACATTTCCAATTGTTTTGATTATTGCATATTTTTCATTTTTTCTTTTTAAACATTGATACATAATAATTTTACATATGTGTGGAGCACATGAGATATTTTGATACATACATACCATTGTAATGATCACATTATGGATTTGGGATATCCATCACTTCAAACATTCATCATTTCTTTCTGTTGGGAACATTTCAAATCTACTCTTTGAGCTGTTTTGAAATATAAATCTTATATCCCAGGTATGGAGTAGTATCTTTCTAAGGTGCTGTTTTAAAATTTGACAATACTAATAATGATAAATTTTGGTCTATCACCTGGAGGAGTGGATAAGCAAATATACCAGGGATATATTTTCAGTGTTTTATTGAACGATCCTCTTCAATTTAAATAAGCTATAATTGGCCGGGCGCAGTGTGGCTCACGCCTGTAATCCCAGCACTTTGGGAGGCTGAGGTGGGCAGATCGCCTGAGGTCAGGAGTTCGAGACCAGCCTGGCCAACATGGTGAAACCCCATCTCTACTAAAAACACAAAAATTAGCCAGGCATGGTGGCACACTCCTGTAATCTCAGCTACTCGGGAGGCTGTGACAGGAAAATCGCTTGAAGCCGGGAGGCAGAGGTTGCAGTGAGCCGAGATCACGCCACTGCACTCTACCCTAGGTGACAGAGCAAGACTCTATCTATAAATAAATAAAGAAATAAATAAGCAAGCCAGCCAGCCAGCCATAATTATTTATTCAAAAATAGTTCTGTGGTGAGTAAAGTATATATCTTCTGAATACTTTTGGATTTTTGTTTGAGAGAGATGTGGTTGTCCAGTATAGCAGCTGTACTGCTTTCTTTTTTTGTTTATGTAAATGAAAGTATCTCCAGGAGCAGTGGATGATACCTGTAATCCCAGCACTTTGGGAGGCCAAGGCAGGAGGATCACTTGAAGCCAAGAGCTCCAGACCCGTCTGGCGACATAGGAAGACTCTGTCTACCAAAAATTTCAAAATTAGCTGGGTGTGGTGGTGTGCG